CTTGGCATATGTTCACGCATGTAGTTGAAACAAATCAACATAGCCTTCATGATATTTATGTTCATGGTGGATTATATCCTACTCATGCTTGCACTCGGTGTTGATTAATTTTAATGCATGTTCATGACTGTTGTCGCTCTCTCAGTTGGTCGCTTCCCAGTCTTTTGCTAGCCTTCACCTGTACTAAGCAGGAATACTACTTGTGCATCCAAACTCCATAAACCCCAAAGTTATTCCATATGAGTCCACCTTATCTTCCTATATGCGGTATTTACCTGTTGTTCCAAGTAAATTTGTATGTGCCAAACTCCAAACCTTCAAATGAAATTCTGTTTTGGATGCTCGAGCAGCTCATGTTTCAACTAGGGCTATCTATATCTTCCATGCTAGGTGGGTTATTCTCAAGGGGAGTGGACTCCACTCCTCATTCACGAGAAAATGGCTGGTAACCGGGATGCCCAGTCCCATGATCAAAAGGATCAAAGCAAATCGAAATAATTAAACAAAACTCCCCCAGGGCTGTTGCTAGTTGGAGGCACTCGTTGTTTTGAGCAAGCCATGGATTGATGCTTGTTGGTGGTGGGGGAGTATAAAATTTACCATTCTGTTTGGGAACCGACTATAATGTATGTAGCATGGAAGATATCGAGATCTCATAGTTGTGGCGTTGATAGTGAAAGTATACTGCTCAAATGTTATTCATCTCTATTTTAAAATCGAGCTCTGGCACCTCCACAAATCCCTGGTTCCCTCTGCGAAGGGCCTTTCTATTTACTTTTATGTTGAGTCATCACCCTCTTATTAAAAAGCACCCGCTGGAGAGCACACTGTCCTTTGCATTCATTACTATTAATTTATATTGAGTATGACTTGACTGGATCTCTTTTACCATGAATTACAATGTTTAGTCAATCCTTAATCTTTAAAGGTGCTCATCATTTATGTTTTGCGGTCTCATAAATGGCTAGCGAGATACCATCTTGTTATATCATATTATGTTTGTTTTGAGAAAGTGTTGTCATCCGAGTATTGCTCGCTAGTTGATTATGCCATTGATATGAGTAAACATGAGACCTAAGCATTATTGTGAATGTGGTTAGTTCATAATCTTTGCTGAAAACTTGAATGCTGGCTTTACATATTTACAACAACAAGAGCAAACAGAGTTTGTAAAAGTTTTTCTTTATCACTTTTAGTTTATCAACTGAATTGTTTGAGGACAAGCAAAGGTTTAAGCTTGGGGGAGTTGATACGTCTCCAACGTATCTACTTTTCCAAACACTCTTGCCCTTGTTTTGGACTCTAACTTGCATGATTTGAATGAAACTAACCCAGACTGACGTTGTTTTCAGCAGAACTGCCATGGTGTTATTTATTGTGCAGAAAACAAAATTTCTCGGAATGACCTGAAAATCCACGGAGATAACTTTTGGAAAATATAAAAAATACTAGCGAAAAGAATCAAGGCCAGGGGGCCCACACCCTGTCCACGAGGGTGGGGGGCGCTCCCCCCTGCCTCGTGGGCCCCCTGGAGCTCCACTGACCTCAACTTCAACTCCATATATTCCGTTTCGCATAGAAAAAAGTCAGAGAGAAAGTTTCATCGCGTTTTACGACACGGAGCCGCCGCCAAGCCCTAATCTCTCTCGGGAGGGCTGATCTGGAGTCCGTTCGGGACTCCGAAGAGGGGGATTTGTCGCTGTCATCATCATCAGCCATCCTCCATCACCAATTTCATGATGCTCACCGCCGTGCGTGAGTAATTCCATCATAGGCTTGCTGGACGGTGATGGGTTGGATGAGATTTACCATGTAATCAAGTTAGTTTTGTTAGGGTTTGATCCTAGCATCCACTATGTTCTGAGATTGATGTTGCTATGACTTTGCTATGCTTAATGCTTGTCACTAGGGCCCGAGTGCCATGATTTCAGATCTGAACCTATTATGTTTTCATGAATATATGTGAGTTCTTGATCCTATCTTGCAAGTCTATTGTCACCTATTATGTGTTATGATCCGACAACCCCGAAGTGACAATAATTGGGATACTTCTCGGTGATGACCGTAGCTTGAGGAGTTCATTTATTCACTATGCGTTAATGCTTTGGTCCGGTACTCTATTAAACGGAGGCCTTAATATCCCTTAGTTTCCATTAGGACCCCGCTGCCATGGGAGGGTAGGACAAAAGATGTCATGCAAGTTCTTTTCCATAAGCATGTATGACTATATTCGGAATACATGCCTACATTACATTGATGAACTGGAGCTAGTTCTGTGTCACCCTATGTTATAACTATTACATGAGGAATCGCATCCAATATAATTATCCATCACTGATCCAATGCATACAAGCTTTTCACATATTGTGCTTTGCTTATTTACTTTACTATTGCTACTGTTACAACTACTACAAAACTGCTACCGTTAATTTTACCACTGTTACCATTACTATCATATTAGTTTGCTACTAAATGCTTTGCTGCAGATACTAAGTTATCTAGGTGTGGTTGAATTGACAACTCAACCGCTAATACTTGAGAATATTCTTTGGCTCCCCTTGTGTCGAATCAATAAATTTGGGTTGAATACTCTACCCTCGAAAACTATTGCGATCCCCTATACTTGTGGGTTATCAATGTCCAAACATCACATGCCAGCAGATGTAGTCACCATCATAAGTACTCAATATATTGTGTTTGGATAGGTAGAGAGATAGGACGTAGTCTTGCTCAATCAGGACCATAGCTTTATTGCGAGCCAAAACTACCTGAAAGAAGCAAAATGGAAAACGATGAAAAATGCAATGGGATTCTTGATCCAATAAGAAATCCCAATTTGGAGTTTGTTTGGATCAAATTCCTATGTTATACTATTCCATTCTCGATGATGAATCGATTTTATAGATTTGATATTGTTATTCCAAATATTGATCCGATTCAGTATCATCAGAATGACAAAAGCTGACATAGTTACTAGTGATTCGAAGAGAAATCCTTTCAATCATCAATGCCCTTTTCTACTAAAACTGTTATTTGTGATACCGGTCAAATCGACTATTGTCATCTACTAAAACAAATGGATGAGCTTCGTTTTGCTGAAGCAAGTGTACGCTGCACTAAGGAGTCGAGTCGAATTATCCGAACTTTCCTACCAAGTTCGAGCTCTTGCTCACTCTATTTCATGAGCTGAGCTATTTATACCGATATATACTATTGAGTGAGATGGAGAAAGATAATGGTGGTATTCCATAGGGAGATGTTGTGTTGGATGATAAAGAGGGTTTGCCTTTCTCGAAAGGAGCTTGGCTATCTCCATCTCCATGTTATAGGACGTGTCAAATATATCTATCGATCTATACCATATGGTGATCCAACTAACCTCCAATACTTGCTAGCGCAAGGAATCGATCATTTGTGTATGTTCAGCCAAAGACTCTAGCCTCGAATTCCGATAACTTCTACGATTCTCTCATTATTCAGTGTCCAGATGGAAGGGATGTTTGTTATTCACTTCGGTCAGAAGAGTAATTGAGACTCAAGAGCACACGTTTTATGTTTGCATTCCTATTTGGGAGTGCCCCCTCCTCCTATTTGGTTGGAAGTTTCCTGCTCAAGTTGCAAAAGCATGGGCTGACCGGACTGCTGCTCACTCTTGCGCTTCAACGGCAGTATTGTCTCCATCTTTCGCCCACCCAGGGGTTAGGGTTATCTTTTGAAAGAATCTCTTGTATCAGCAGATACGAGAATCAGTCGTGCATATTATCATATAGAAATGTGAATCAAGATGCATCTGGATGAGAGTTTGGCTTTCTTTTGGCAAAACCTGGATTGTTTTCAGCAAACTAGCAATCTGTGGAGATGGCTGATCTGTCCCACCTTGATTGATAGTGATATAGCCACTCTCATTTCAATGTGGCACATTGATACCATCATTCCAATCTTCTATCGTCCATGCTAAATACCATGAAATTAAGTAGCTAAGGTCTAGTGGACCTATTTAAACAAGGATATGTTGATCCTTCTCTGTCGACTTTTCCACTATCAACCCCAAAAACCCAACTCTGCCTTACGTAAAGGAAATTAGTACGATTCACTTTTGGATTTTAAATCACTTCTTATACCAGGTATTGGGCATACAAGAACATTCTGTAGTATTAGTAAGAGGAGGAAGGGTTAAGTATCTTGGAACTCAGTGTGAGATATTGCATTATTCGAGCTGGATGCAGTCGTAGTAAAGAATCATCAACAAGGGCATTCTAGTGCATTGTAGATTCTTATCCAAGACTTGTATCATTTGATGATGCCATGTAAATTGAGCAACAGAAGAAGGACCCAATAACGAAAGTTTCGTAAAGGGACTAGAGCATACTACCATGAGACAAAAGATCTTCTTTCTAAAGGGTTTCGATTCGGAACTCTTATATGTCCAAGGTCAATATGGAAATTCTTTCAGAGGTTTTCCCTTACTTTGTCCGTGTCAACAAACAATTCAAAATACCTCGACTTTTTCAGAATAGGCCCGAGTCAAATAGCAATGATTCGAAGCACTTGTTTTTCCATTACACTATTTCAGAAACCTATGGACTTGATCGTATGGATATGGAAAATACAGGATTTCCGATCCTAGTGGGAAAAGGAGGGAAACGAATACTCAATTTAAAGTAAACAGAATTCCATACTCGATCTCATAGATCCCTATAGAATTCTGTGGAAAGCCGTATTCGATGAAAGTCTTATGTACGGCTTGGAGGGAGATCTTTCCTATCTTACGAGATCCACCCTACAATATGGGGTCAAAAGCTAAAAAATAAAGTTATTATAGCCCTTATAAAAATGAAACGAATTCTTGAACCTCTTTCACGCTCATGTCACGTCAAGGTACTGCAAAAAAGAACTGCAAAATCCAATCCAATTTTTCGTAATCGATTAGTTAACATGGTGGTTAACCGTATTATGAAAGACGGAAAAAATCATTGCCTTATCAAATTCTCTATCGAACCATGAAAAAGATTCAGCAAAAGACAGAAACAAATCCATTGTTGGTTTTACGTCAAGCAAAACGTGGAGTAACGCCCAATATAGGAGTAAAAACAAGACGTAATAAAAAAGGATCGACGCAGAAAGTTCCAATTGAAATAGGATCCAAACAAGGAAGAGCACTTGCCATTCGTTGGCTATTAGAAGCATTCCAAAAGCGTCCAGGTCGAAATATGGCTTTCAAATTAAATTCCAAATTAGTAGATGCTGCCAAAGGGAGTGGGGTTCCATACGCAAAAAGGAAGCGACTCATAGAATGGCAGAGGCAAATAGAGCTCTTGCACAATTTCATTAATCCATGAACAGAATCTATGTATGTAGACAAATGGATCCATACATCTCGATCAGAAAAGAATCAATAGAAGGAGAATTGGACGATATCTTTCTCAAAACAAACAAATAGAAAAAGAAAGAGAAAACAGAAAACGTTATCAACTAAGCCCTCTCGAGGGCTTGCTTAAAAATACGAAAGAAGAATCTTATGGAAATAGCATGGAATAAGGTTTAATCCTATTCATGGGGATTCCGTAAATATCCCATTTCAAAAATCGAAACAATCGGGACTTTTCAGAGATTGGATGCAGCTACTAATTCATGATCTGGCATGTACAGAATGAAAACTTCATTCTCGATTCTACGAGAATTTTTATGAATGTGTTTCATTTGCTTCTCTTCAATGGAAGTTTCATTTCCCAAAATGTATCTTAATTTTTGGCCTAATTCTTCTTCTGATGATCGATTCAACCACTAATAAAAAAGATAGACCTTGGTTCCATTTCATCTCTTCAACAAGTTTAGTAATGAGCATAACGGCCTAATTGTTTTGATGGAGAGAAAAACCTATAATTAGCTTTTCGGGAAATTTCCAGATGAACAATTTCAACGAAATCTTTCAATTTCTCATTTTATTATGTTCCACTTTATGTATTCCTCTATCCGTGGAGTACATTGAATGTACAGAAATGGCTATAACAGAGTTTCTATTATTCGTATTAACATCTACTCTAGGGGGAATGTTTTTATGTTGTGCTAACAATTTAATAACTATCTTTGTAGCTCCAGAATGTTTCAGTTTATGTTCCTACCTATTGTCTGGATATACCAAGAGAGATCTACGGTCTAATGAGGCTACTATGAAATATTTACTCATGGGTGGGGCAAGCTCTGCTATTCTGGTTCATGGTTTCTCTTGGCTATATGGTTCATCTGGGGGAGATCGAGCTTCAAGAAATTGTGAACGGTCTTATCAATACACAAATGTATAACTCCCTAGGAATTTCAATTACACTTATATCCATCACTGTAGGACTTGGGTTTACGCTTTCCCCAGCCCCTTTTCATCAATGGACTCCTGACGTCCACGAAGGAGTGTGGTTCATTCGACAAATTCCTACCTCTATATCTATCTCTGAGGTGTTTGGGTTTAGCAAAACTCCATAGACATGCAAAAGAAAAATGCTATCCCCACTCCGACCAACATAAAACTTTTACCAAAAGTTTATTGTGATCTTTTTGTTCAAATAACAATTAAAGTGAAGCAGGGTCAGGAACAATGAATCTCTTTATGATAAATAGATCCATTTTGCAAGTTCGTTGTTACGGGTAGTTCCTACAAAGAATCAGACTAATGACGTATACGATGCTTGAATTATCGATGTAGATGCTACATAGTGGGTTTTCATCCTTCAGAGACTACGAGTGTAATAGGAGCATCCGTTGACAAAGGGATCACCCTAAGATGATCATGTCATGGCTATTGGGAACGAATCAAATCAGATGGTTCTATTTCTCAACCATTCTGACTTGCTCATACAAAACCAAGGTCGAAAGGACTAAAAAGGTCAGTCATTCACAACCACTGATGAAGGATTCCTCGAAAAGTTAAGGATTAGTAGTTCTTTTTCGAAATTGATTTCAAAAATGAATGCATTTAGTCTTATACATACGCGAGGAAGGTAATCAAAAAAGAGAGAAGACGAGTTCTAGTTTCTTTTATCACTGAGGAGCCATGCGAGATGAAAGTCTCATGCACGGTTTTGCATGAGAGAAAGAAGTGATGAATCCTCTATTCAACTCTTACTCCCCCACTCCAGTCGTTACATTTCTCTCTGTTATTTTGAAAGTAGCTGCTTCAGCTTCAGCCGCGCGAATTCTCGATATTCCTTTTTATTTCTCATCAAACGAATGGCATCTTCTTCTGGAAATCCTAGTTATCCTTAGCATGATTTTTGGGAATCTCCTTGCTATTACTCAAACAAGCATGAAACGTATGCTTGCATATTCGTCCATAGGGCAAATTGGATATGTAATTATTGGAATAATTGTTGGAAACTCAAATGATAACTTATATGCTGTTCTATATCTCCATGAATCTAGGAACTTTTTCTTGCGTTGCATTATTTGGTCTACGTACCAGAACTGATAACATTCGAGATTACGAAGGATTACAAATGAAAGATCCTTTTTGGCTGTCTCTTTAGCCCTATGTCTCTTATCCCTAGGAGGCCTTCCTCCACTAGCAAGTTTCTTCGGAAAACTCTACCTATTCTGGTGTTGATGGCAAGCAGGCCTATATTTCTTCGTTTCAGTAGACTCCTTATGAGCATTCTTTCTATCTACTATTATCTAAAAATAATCAAGTTATTAATGACTGGACGAAACCAAGAAATAACCCCTTATGTGCGAAATTATAGAAGAAGATCAAACAATTCCATCGAATTGAGTATGACTGTATGTGTGATAGCATCTACTATACCAGGAATATTAATGAACCCCATTCTTGCAATTGCTCAGGATACCCTCTTTTAGCTTCTAGGTCTATTTCTTAGTTCAAGATCCATCTTACTAACTGGAATAAAAGAATTAGTAGATCTGTTCCGCCCAAAATGGGAATGGGCACTAGGGTTATGAACTTATAATCATGGAATCGACTCGATCATCAGATTATAAGTTCATTCCATACCGAACCAGACCGTGCACATTCTTATCATGAGAAGGGATCATTCGAGCCTATGGAAATAGGATACTCTGTTTACATAGAAAGCCCTACGCCATCACATTCTATTTAGGATTAGGAATAGGTGTAACCAGACCTCCTTTTGACATATATATCCTATTCTTATTTGGGTACCATATGCACCTCTTTGGGCTCCTATTGAATCGAGAAATTGGATTTTACATCTTTCATATTATTGATTTTGATATTGATTTTTATACATTCCAACAGATAAATCAAAACGAAGCTATCTGATGTCTGGCTCAGGCAAAAAGAAAAGAAAGAAGAGAACAAAAGGAGAACAGAACTTCGTATTTGGTAACTCTCTTGTAGTTATGTTTAACCTTGAATGCAATTTATAGATCCCATAGCAATAGTCCCTCGGACTCGAAAAGTAATAACAAAAATGGCTAATCCAATAGCAGATTCCGTAGCTGCCACTGTTGGAGCTAATGTAGCAAATGATTGACCCATCATATCATCCAAAGAAACGGAAAATACCAAAAAGTTGAAATTGACAGCTAATAACATTGATTCAATTGGCATTGACATAATAAGAATATTTCATCTATTAAGGAGAATTCCCCGAATACCTAAGATAGAGATGATCATAGAAAAACTGAAATATTTTATAGGATCCGTTTCTGAAACATGGAATGTGAGAGAAATTCAAATTATGTGAGGCTTAGAAAGAAGTCCTGCTTAGAGTCCAGGGAGAGCCTATGTTATTTTTTTCTCTAGTTACCCTTTTTCCTTCTCAAACAACGCATTTGATTTCCTTTCTTATACCAAAGGAATTCCATCTTTCTCTTGCCGATCGCATCACATTCAAGGCATTTCGTCAGAATACATCCTGTCTTTTCACCTTTGTAGTCCTATGCATAGTAAGTACTATAGCCTCACTAGCCCCCTTCACGGAGCATGGTGTGATAGTCTTGTTCACGGAGCTCCTCTCCTCTTCGTCGCTCTAGTAAGGAATCTTGACGTAGGTGTTTGGAATTACTCCTCTTCCCTTTCAAATTTTCTTTAGGATCACGCGGTTGGTTTTTCGTTCATTGGTTCTCAGCTCTTTTCATCCGGTGCATTTCTCGTCAAGACGATTCGACCGTCTTTGTTTTGCCAAGAGCATTCCTTAGTTCTTTCTTGACGAAGTTGTTTCTCTATCCTTAGTTGTCTTCTTTTTCCCACCCGCCCACCCTTTTTCTTATTGAAGCCAGAGCCCGTAATCGACTGTCCATCCTACTCATGTGAAGTCTTTGCATTCTTTCCTCAATTATTTCAACCGGTGTTTTCTATTCAAGTTATTCGTCGGTTCTCCCTTCTAAGTTTCCTTTGTTTTTTTTCCCGCCCTCCCACCC